TAGGCTACAGTGGCTTAGCCTATAGGGGGTACACAATTCTAGGGTTTCCTACTTGTACTCTTTTCACTGCTAGTTCATTCATTCCTGTTCACTTCTTTCACATGGTATAGAGCGGGTCCTTCCTTAGGACCGTTTTTTTTTTAGGGCCCACCGAAGCGCGCCCCGAGGCACGCCTTTTTTTAGCGACCCCTCGGGTCGCCATTTCCGACGCGGCCCCGCCACCCCTCCTGATCGCGGCCCCGCCGCCTGCTTGACGCGGCCCCGCCGCCTCCACTGACGCGGCCCCGCCGCCGGCTCTGACGCGGCCCTCCCGCCCGCTTCGTCGCGGCCCCGCCGCCTGCTTGACGCGGCCCCGCCGCCTCCACTGACGCGGCCCCGCCGCCGGCTCTGACGCGGCCCTGCCGGCCCGCCGCTGCACCCTACGGCCCGCCGCTGCACCCTACAGCCCGCCGCCTCACCTGACGGCCCCGCCGCTGCACCTGCCGGCCTGCCGCTGCACCTGCCGGCCCGCCGCTTCACCTGACGGCCCCGCCGCTGCACCTGCCGGCCCCGCCGCTGCACCTGCCGGCCCGCCGCTGCACCCTACGGCCCGCCGCTGCACCCTACGGCCCGCCGCCTCACCTGGTCGGCCCGCCGCTGCACCCTACGGCCCCGCCGCTGCACCTGCCGGCCCGCCGCTGCACCGGTCGACCCGCCGGTGCACCTGACGGCCCCGCCCCTGCATCTCCCGGCCGAGCCGCCCCAGCAGCAGAGCCGCCCCAGCAGCCGAACCGCCCGGGAGCCGAGCCGCCCAACGCCGAGCCGCCCGGGACCCGAGCCGCCCTGCCGCCGAGCCGCCCGGGAGCCGAGCCGCCCTGCACCCGAGCCGCCCTGCCGCCGAGCCGCCCGGGAGCCGAGCCGCCCTGCGCCCGAGCCGCCCAGCCGCCGAGCCGCCCGGGAGCCGAGCCGCTGTGCACCCGAGCCGCCCGGTCGCTGAGCCGCCTTTCTGCAGAGCTGCACGACCTGCCCTGCCTGGTGAGCACAGTCCCACTGACACTGCGAGCTCTTTCCCTACTGCTTGCACTGCGTCGCTGTCGTCGCCATGGCTACCCCTAGTGTCCTAGCTTTTGACGCTGAGGGTCGCGCCATTGATTTTGAGGTCTGGTTAGACGACCTGCAGCTGTTCTTACAGTGCGACAGGGCTGACGACCTTTCTCTCTTTGACCTCACCTCTGGCGCCTCTCCTGCTCCTGCTGCTGATGCTGATCCCACTGTCCGCTCTCAGTGGGCCACCCGCGATGCTGCTGCACGTCTTGCTGTGCGTTGCCACCTCCCTACCTCTGAGCGTGCGCACTTTAGTCAGTACAAGAGTGCTCAGACCTTGTACGACGCTGTAGTTGCGCGCTACTCCTCCCCTGCCACTGCTGCACTGAGCCGTCTCATGCTTCCCTACCTCTTTCCTGACCTCTCTGCCTTTCCCACTGTTGCTGACCTCATTACGCACCTCCGCACTAGTGACACTCGCTACCGCGCCGCCCTTCCTGCTGAGTTCTGCGCTAAGAACCCACCCCCCATGTACATCGCTCTCTACTACGTAGTCGCGCGCCTCCCTGACTCCCTTCGCGTCGTCAGGGACCACTTTCTCGCAGTCTGTCCCACCACCCTCACCGTCGACCTCCTCGAGAAGGCCCTCCTCGCAGCGGAGAAGAGCATAGTCGCTGTAGGTGCTTCTCGTGGTGACCCTCGCACCCCCATCTTTGAGGGGTGCTCTCCTTCCCCCTTGCTGCCCTCTGTTGCCTCTGCTGCTGCTGCCGACCTGCTTGGTCTTGAGTCGGTCGGCGCGGCGTCTACCCCTAGTGGGAGACGTCGCTCGAGCAAGGGCAAGGGGGGCAAGGGCGCGGGTGGAGCTGGAGGGGGCGGTGGCGGTAGCGGCGGTGGCGGCGGAGGGAGTGGGGGTGGCGGCGGGACTAGTGGCGGGGGTGGGGGTGGTGGTGGCAGCAGCGGCGGAGACGGTGGTGGTGGTGCCAGCGGTGGTGGTGGAGGCAGCGGCGGAGGTGGAGGCGGCGGAGGTGGAGGCGGTGGAGGCGGCAGCGGAGGAGGCGGTGGTGGTGGAGGAGGTGGAGCTGGTCGGGGTGGTACCCAGCAGCGTAGCGGCGGTGGTGGTGGCCAGCGCTCGCAGCGGCAGCAGCAGCAGCGCTCGCGGGACATCCCTCCGCCTCAGCAGCTTCGTGAGTGGTACGCTGGGCGTCAGAGGGGTGGGGGTACTGGTCCCTGCGCCTACGTTCTTCGTTCCGGCGACCGCGCGGGTGAGCAGTGTGGGGGTGCCCACGCCACCCAGCGCTGCTTTGGCCGCCTGACGGACGCTTGGCGTCAGCAGTTCCCTGGGGCTAGTGAGATCCCTCGCTGGGATGAGCTTCTAAGGGCTGGTGTAGCGATCTTTGATCTTGATTTTGATGCTATCCTTGCTGCTATGTATGCTGTGGATTATAGTGAGGAGAATGAGGGTTACCGGTGTTTCCAGCCCGACCCGGGCATTGGTACTGCTGCGCTAGGTGCTTGTGAGGCTGCTGCTATAGGTGCCAGTGCGTCTGTGCTCTCAGGTACTGGTGAGACTGCGCTCTCAGGTACTGCGTCGTCCTCGTCCTCCCTCACTTTCACACTTGACTCCGGGGCTTCTCGCTCCTTCTTTCGAGACCGCACTACCCTTACGCCGCTCGGCCGGCCGGTTGCGGTCTCCCTTGCTGACCCCTCTGGGGGTCCTGTCCTGTCTCACTTCTCCACTGTCCTCCCGTGTCCGGCTGCCCCTTCGGGCACCCTGTCTGGTCTGTACCTTCCCTCGTTCTCTACGAACTTGGTGAGTGGAGCGGACCTGCAGGATGTGGGGGTTCACCAGTTCACTCCTGCGAGTCAGCGGGTGACCCACTGCACGGAGGCACGCACAGGCCGACACCTGGCCACGTTCTCGCGTCGGCCGGGGTCGAGTCTCTACACCCTGACCGTTGAGTCTCCTCCTGTCCCTGCGTCTGGTCAGGTGGCTGCGTCGGGTCAGGTGCTTGCTGCTGCGTCCCGGTCAGGTCCTGAGTCTGCCCCCTGTTCTTGTCGCCTCCTGTCTCACGAGACTCTCCTGTGGCACCACCGTCTTGGCCACCCCTCCTTGCCCCGTCTTCGGAGCATGGCTTCCCGTGTCCTTGTCTCTGGTCTTCCCCAGTCTCTCCCTCCTCTCCCCTCCGGGCCAGGACCTTCCTGTGTCCCCTGTGTCGAGGGTCGCCTCCGGGCTACTCCTCACTCCTCCCACTTCCCCCCCGACAGAGGCTCCCCTGCAGACGCTTCACATGGATGTGTGGGGCCCAGCCCCCGTCCGTGGGCAGGGTCACGAGCGCTACTTCCTGTTGGTGGTTGACGACTACTCGCGTTACACCACAGTCCTCCCCTTGCGCAGCAAGGGTGCGGTCACTGAGGTGCTGATCGACTGGATCCGCGAGGCTCGTCTCCAGCTCAGGAAGAGCTTCGGCTCGGACTTTCCTGTTCTGCGTCTGCACTCGGACAGAGGCGGAGAGTTCTCTTCTCGCCTTCTGCGGGACTACTGTCGTGCACGGGGGATTCGCCAGACCTTCACGCTTCCAGACTCACCACAACAAAATGGGATTGCTGAGCGCCGCATTGGCATGGTCATGGATGTCGCTCGTACGTCCATGATGCATGCGGCTGCCCCCCATTTTCTGTGGCCGTTTGCGGTGAGGTACGCGGCGCATCAGCTCAACCTTCACCCCCGGGTCTCTCGGCCTGCGATGTCCCCAGCCTTGCTGTGGACGGGGAAGGTTGGCGATGCGTCTGTGTTCCGTGTCTGGGGATCTCGGGCGTTTGTCCGCGACTTGTCTGCGGACAAGCTGTCCCCTCGTGCTGCTCCCTGTGTCTTCCTTGGCTTCCCCACTGACGCCCCAGGGTGGCAGTTTTACCACCCCTCCTCTCGTCGTGTTCTGTCCTCCCAGGACGTCACGTTCGACGAGTCAGTCCCCTTCTACCGTCTCTTCCCCTACCGCACTCCTTCCCTCTCCCCTCCCCCGGACTTCCTTGTGCCGGTTCCCCCCCCGGTAGACCCCCTCCCCCCTCAGGTTCCTGCCCCCTCAGGTGTGTCCCAGGTAGACGCCGTTGACCCGGTCGAGGTTACTGGTGACTCTGGTGCTGCTGCGGGTGCTGGGCCTGGGGGTGCTGACTCTGAGGGTGCTGTGCGCGGGGGTGCTGAGCCTGGGGGTGCTACTGCTGGGGGTGCTGGGCCTGGAGGTGCTACTGCGGAGGGTGCGGAGCCTGGGGGTGCTGAGTCGGGGGGTGCTGTGCCTGGAGGTGCTGGGTCTGGGGGTGCTGGGTCGGGAGCTGCTGAGCCTGGGGGTGTTGAGCTGGGAGCTGCTGAGCCTGGGGGTGCTGCGTCTGGAGCTGCTGAGCCTGGGGTTTCTCCTGCTGCTGCGTCTCGCCGGGAGCCCCTCTCTCCACAGGAGCTGCGTGAGTGGTTTGCTCGCCACTGGAGGCGTGCTGCTGAGTCTGGAGGTGCTGCTGGAGCTGGAGCTGGAGCTTCTTCGACCGTCGAGGGTGCGGGTGCTGCCGGTCCCGGAGCTGCTGGACCTGCGGGTCCTCCTGGAGCTGGAGCTGCTGAGGGCGTTGGTGCTGAGCCTACTGCTGTTGGTCCTGCCGCTGGAGGTGTGGGTGGCGCTGGTGCTGTCGCTGAGGGTGCTGGTGCTGTCCCTGCTGAGTCTGGAGCTGCCGCGCGGCCTCGGCCGTACTTCGTTCTGCTCCTGCAGCAGGTTCTTGGTCTTTCTCCTCCAGTAGAGGGTCCACCGCCTGTCCAGTCGCAGTCCCTGCTGGAGCCTTCCTCTCCACTGCCTGCTCCCTCTACTTACACTGGTCCTACTGGAGGTCTTGCTGAGCGTCGTGAGCCTGCGTCTCGTCCCGCGTCGCCTGTTCGTGCTGCTCGCGCTAGTGGTCGCAGTTCGTGTCAGCGTCCTCCTCCTGTCCCTGGCACGCACCGGATGTCTTTGCGTCCGTCCACTGCTCCTCTGCGCGCCCCTTTGCCTTCTCCTCCTGAGTCCTCTCTTCCTGCGCTTGCCGACCCTGAGTCGGACTCTCTTCGTGCTGCCATTCCTACTGTCACGCGTCTGCTTGCTACTGTCGTCACTGACCCCTCTTTTGAGTCCACTGCTGCGTCTGCTCTAGTCGCTGAGCTCGTCGACTTTGCTGCTCGCTCTCGTCTCGACTACGCTGCTAGTCTTGTTGCTGAGTCTGCGTCTGTCTGTCCTCCGTCCGTTGGGGGTGAGTGTGCTCTTGGCACGGACGTCCTAGAGGACAGGCAGGAGGAGTTACAATGTCTAGTGGCTGCTTCACCTCATCTCGCGTCTGTACTGCTTGCCCCTGAGGGAGACCCTAATGCACTAGACATCCCGACTCCGCGTTCTTACGCGGAGGCCGTAGAGGGTCCCTACTCCTCTCAGTGGCAGGCAGCTATGGATGCAGAGATGGCTTCCTGGAAGTCCACAGGCACCTACGTTGACGCGGTTCCCCCTCCTGGGGCGAACATCGTCAGTGGCATGTGGATCTTCAGGGTGAAGCGGCCGCCGGGCTCTCCACCTGTCTTCAAGGCACGGTACGTTGCTCGTGGCTTCAGTCAGCGGCAGGGAGTTGACTACTTTCAGACCTTCTCTCCCACCCCGAAGATGACTACTCTTCGGGTGCTGCTGCACATAGCCGCTCAGCGCGACTACGAGCTTCACTCTCTCGACTTCAGCACTGCGTTCTTGCAGGGTAGCCTGCACGAGGAGATCTGGCTTCGCCGTCCACCTGGCTTCACTGGGACTTTCCCTCCTGGCACCCAGTGGAGCCTCCGACGGCCAGTCTACGGTCTCCGCCAGGCACCGCGTGAGTGGCACGACACACTGAGGACTACGCTTGCGGCTCTTGGGTTTGCTCCTTCTTCTGCTGACCCGTCGCTGTTTCTTCGCACCGACACTTCCCTGCCGCCGTTCTACATCCTCGTGTACGTCGACGACTTGGTCTTTGCCACAGCGGACACTGCTGGACTCGCCTACGTGAAGTCCGAGCTGCTGAAGAGACACACGTGCACTGACCTGGGTGAACTGCGCAGCTACCTTGGCTTGCAGATCACTCGGGACAGAGCACGCCGCACCATTACCTTGACTCAGTCACACATGGTGCAGCAGGTCCTTCAGCGCTTCGGCTTCACGTACTCCTCGCCTCAGGCCACTCCTCTGCCTACTCGCCACTCACTCTCAGCTCTGCCTTCGGATGAGTCCGTAGAGTTGAGTGGTCCGTATGCAGAGCTTGTTGGCTGCCTCATGTACCTGATGACCTGCACACGACCTGACCTTGCATACCCTCTGAGCATTCTTGCACGCTATGTTGCTCCTAGGAGACACAGACCGGAGCACATGGCTGCAGCGAAGAGGGTATTGCGCTACCTGTGCAGTACGTCGGGCATGGGGCTAGTGCTTGGAGGGCGGAGTCCAGTGGTCCTTACCGGCCACGCGGACGGTTCTTGGGCTGACGACCAGGCTACGCAGCGGTCGTCACAGGGTTACACCTTCAGCCTTGGTTCCGGCTCTGTCTCGTGGCGGTCTACTCGCTCGTCCTCGGTTCTCAGCTCCAGTTGTGAGGCCGAGATCTACGCCGGGGCCATGGCTGCACAGGAGCTTCGCTGGCTCACCTACCTGCTGACTGACCTTGGAGAGCCGCCTCGTTCTCCTCCAGTGCTGTACGTAGACAACAAGGCCATGCTGGCCTTGTGTCGAGAGCAGCGCTTGGAGCACAGAACGAAGCACATTGCTCTCCGCTACTTCCTTGCTCGTGAGCTGCAGCAGCGTGGTCAGTTGCGACTTGCGTACGTGGCCTCTGAGGCCAACACTGCTGATGTGTTCACCAAGGCACTCGCGCCTTGTGACCATCAGCGCTTTTGCACCCAGCTGGGTCTTGTGCCTGTCTTGCCTCACTTGCTCTCCTCTTGACTTCACTTGTACTGTGACATATATATACCTGCTCTTGCTTGTCTAGTTATATATATATGTCTGTACTCCTGCATGTGAACTGGCCTCTGGCCCTGCTCTTGTGCTCGGACTGTGTGGTGACTTTGTGATCCACCCTGAGCTTGCTTTGCTTTGCTTGACTGGTCTTGTGACCCCTTGTTCTCCCCCACTTTGCCTATGGGGGTGTGTCAAACATTATATATGTTATGCTTGTGTAGGCTACAGTGGCTTAGCCTATAGGGGGTACACAATTCTAGGGTTTCCTACTTGTACTCTTTTCACTGCTAGTTCATTCATTCCTGTTCACTTCTTTCACAGCTGGGGCGGCTGCTCCACAAGCTACTGCTGCTAGGGCGGCTCCAGGGGCTGCTGCTGCTGGGGCGGCTGCTCCCGGGGCTGCTGCTGCTGGGGCGGCTGCTCCACAAGCTGCTGCTGCTGGGGTGGCCGCTCCAGAGGCAGCAGCTGCTGCTGGGGCGGCTGCTCCACAAGCTGCTGCTGCTGGGGTGGCCGCTCCAGAGGCAGCAGCTGCTGGGGCGGCTGCTCCCGGGGCCGCTGCTGCTGGGGCGGCTCCAGGGGCTGCTGCTGGGGCGGCTGCTCTTGGAGCTGCTGCTGCTGCGGTGGCCGTTTCAGGGGCTGCAGCTGCTGGGGCTGCTGCAGCGTAAAGTAGGACGGAGGGGAGGGGAAGGGCGCGGCCCCCATTGTGCCCTGAAGGGTGACGTGCTAAGGAGCCGCGCAGGTCCCCGAAAGTGCCTCGACGGGCGACGAGAGGGGACCGCGCGCAGGCCCCTAAGGCGTCGCGACGAGGCAACGGGAGGGGCCGGCTCGCGAGCCCCGAAAGTGCCGCGACGAGGCGACGGGAGGGACCTGCGTGCGGGCCCCCAAAACGCCGCGACGAGGCGACGGTCGGGGCCAGCGCGCGGGCTCCCAAGACGCCGCGACGAGGTAGGTACCCGCCGCGCGCTTCGGGGCGCACGGCGGGCAGAAAACCGCCACGCGCCCCGAGAGCGTGGCGGGAAGAAAAAAAGGTGGTCGTGCGCCACGGGGCGCACGACACACAATAGGGCAGCGGAATCGAGTGGGCCCACAGGCCAGGAGCGTTAAGCTCTAATACCATCTCAAAATCTTAAGCAAGGGTAGGTTTGGAAGCCATAGTGTAGGAGCCTAGGTGATCGAGTTCGAGAGGGTTAGGAAAGTATCGAGAAAGTTGAAAGAGAAGTGGTTTCACTAGCAAGAGTTGGGATACAAGTACAATGCCCTAAATTGGGTTGTACTCATTACAGAGTACCCCACTATAGGCTAGACACCAAATATATTCTGACAGGAGGGGACAGCAGGGGAACACACTGTGAAGGAGAGGAAGGACGACAGACTACGAGGTGGGTGCCGGGGACAGCCGGCTAACGCGAACGAGGAACACGATGACCGGAATGACCAGAACGGACATGCGAGACAGGACGCGATGTAGGCTCACGACGCTTAGTAAGACCCCCTGTCTGCTCAGTGTAAGGAGAAGGAGCAGGCAGCGGTGAGCCAGGCTGTAATGGAAGACCAGTAGACGAAGGAAGACTAAGAACCTGGTAGAGTACAGAGTCAGACCGTGGCTGAGACGACAGAGACGGTGGAGCAAAGAACAGGCGCGGCTGTGCAGTGCTACCAGCACCAGCATCTCCAGCACCCCCAGCAGCTCTAGCACCTCCAGCAGCTCTAGAACCCTTAGCTCCAGGTCCTCCAGGACCAGCTCCACCAGCAGCAGCACCCCCAGAACCGGCACCTCTAGTCCCAGGGTCTCCAGCCTTAGTGTCTCCAGTAGCAGCACCCTCAAGCTCAGTACCTCCAGCCCCAGCAGCTATAGTACCTCCAGTACGAGCGCCTCCGGGACCAGCACCACTCCCAGCTCCAGTGACGTCAGCACAAGTACCTCCAGCGCCAGAGCCCCGAGCCCCAGAAGCGCGACCCTGACGGCGACCGTATTAGTTGTGCAGCTGGTGTGAGGTGAGAGGCACATGTGGACGAAGGCGGCTACTCCAAGGAGACCGCGCAACAGCAGACTCAGAACCCTAAGTGCTACTACCCGCAGCAGCTCCAGAACCTCCAGCTCCAGCACCCTCAGCAGCTCCAGAACCTCCAGCAGAAACAACTCCAGTAGGAGAGTCACCACCTCCAGCACCTCACGCAGCAGAGCCCCTAGCTCTAGCAGCGCGCCCTGACGGCCAACGTACCACTCACGCAGCTGCTGTGGGGAGAGAGGGAGTCGACAACGAGAGTGCAGCGACGAGGTACCAGCGGAGCGACTACGGAGACGGCCGCTCCAGGGAGACTGCTCACCAGACGCCTCAGCGCCCCCAGGTGCACCACCCCCAGACTCAGTACCCCCACGCTCAGCACCCTCAAACTCCTCACGCCTAGGCTCAGCACCTCCTGTCTCTGCAACTCCAGGCTCCGCACCTCCAGGCTCCGAACCCCCAGGCTCAGCACCCCCAGGCTCCGCATCCCCAGGCTCAGCACCCCTAGAAGCAGCACCCCAAGCAGGACCACCCTTAGCAGGACTTGAGTCACCAGTGATCTCAACCGGCACAGTCAAGGGAGGAGGGTCTACCTGAGACACACCTGAAGGAGCAGGACCGGGAGCGGGGAGGGGGTCTACCTGGGGAGCACCTGGAGTGAGGAAGAGCAGCGGGGGGGGGGAGAGGGGCAGTGCGGTAGGGGAAGAGACGGTAAAAGGGAACCGACTCGTTGAACGTGACGTCCTGAGAGGAGAAGACACGGCGCGAGGTGGGGTGGCAAAACTGCCAACCAGGCGCGTCAAGGACAAAGCCAAGGAAGACACAGGGAACAGCGCGGGCGGAGAGCTTGTCCGCGGTGGTATCACGGACAAAGGCACAAGCACCCGAGACCCGGAAACGCGACGCATCGCCAACCTTCCCCGTCCACAGCAGCGTGGGCGAGGTCTCCGGCAAGGAAACACTGGGCCAGAGGTTGAGCTGATGCGCGGCATACCGGACCGCAAACGGCCACAGAAAATGGGGCCCAGCCGCATGGATCATGGAGGTGCAAGCGACCTCCATGACTAAGCCAATGCGGCGCTCAGCAACCCCATTCTGCTACGAAGAGGCTGGAAGCGTGAACGTCTGATAGATGCCGTGCTCTGCACAGAAGGCTGCCAAGAGGTCGGAGGAAAACTCCCCACCTCTGTCAGAGTGCAGATGCAAGACGGGCAACTCCGTCCTGAACCGCTCGTGGAGCTGGAGATGAGCAGCGCGGATCCAAGGGATCAAAACATCACAGACCTCACCCTTGGTGCGCAAGGGGAAGACCGTGGTGTAATGCGTGTAGTCGTCGACGATCAGCAGGAAGTACCGCTCGTGACCCTGTCCACGGACGCGGGCTGGGCCCGACCTGTCCAGGTGGAGAGTCTGCAGGGGAGCCTCTGTGGGAGGGAACGAGGAGTGAGGAGTGGCGCGCTGCCGCCCCTTGACACAGGGAAGACAGAGAGGAGCAGGCGAGGGTGGTAGGGGAGGGAGAACCCTGGGAAGACCATAGACAAGGTAACGGGAGTGCATGTCAAGAAGGCGCTGCATCGAAGGGTGACCAAGGCGGTGGTGCCAAAGGACCGTCCAGTGCGACAGTGTGCGATACGAGCAGGGGGCCGACATCTGACCTGACGCAGACGGAGACGCAGCTACCTAAGGGGACTCAGTGGTCAGTGTGTACAGGCCCGACCCCGTCTGCCGAGTGAAGGTAGCCAGGTGACGACCCATCTGAGCACACGTGCAGTGTGTCACACGCTCGTAGGCAAGGGTGAACTGGTGAACACCCGAGTCCTGGAGCGCAGAACCCGACACCAAGTTCGTAGAGAACAAGGGGAGGTAAAGACCAGACAGTGTGCCGGACAGGACAGCAGGACAAGGGAGGACAGTGGTGGAGGTCGCACGGACTGGACCCCTAGAGGGGTCTGCCAGAGAGACTGCAAACGGCCGACTGAGTGGTGTGAGGGTGGTGCTGTCGCGAAAGAAGGAGCGAGAAGCACCGGAGTCAAGTGTGAAGGTGTACAAGGCCTCAGCAGGCGCAGTACCAGAGAGAGCAGACTCATTAGCACCTGGAGCAGAAGCCAGCACCTGGGGCAGCAGCCTCACCAGCACCTAGAGCAGCAGGCTCTATACTTGGGTCAGGCGGTACGCACTGGTAACAGGCACAGTCAGCACTAGTAGGCAATGCATGTATGGCACAAAGAATAGCATCATAGTCAAGAGCAAAGATATCTACCCTCTGCCATGCAGCTCCAACCAGGTGGGGAGCTCAGCCTCGTTGCCAAACTCGGTACGCCATGTGTCGCTCAGACGGGCGAAGCAGCGGGACTGTGTGTGACCAAGCGTCCTGCAAGCCTGACCAGTCCGATCACCTGTGGGAATGACGTATGGGCAGCGAACGGTACTCTAAGACCCTCTACTCTGAGCGTACCACTCGTGAAGCTGCTGGGACGTATGTGTCTTGCGTGGACGCCGCTGCAGCTGCAGCTGGCCACTGCCAAACGCTCCCAACTGACCTCCTCCAGGGCGACAGCTACGACGGCTGCCGCCACAACCCCAACTATCGTACCGCTCACGAAGCTGCTGGGGCGGGAGAGACTCGCGTGGACGTCGCTCGAGCTGCATCTGGCCACCGCCAGTACCAGCAGGATCAGTAGCGGTAGCCTAGCAGTAGTAACAGAAGTAGCAGCAGTAGCAGCGCGGGCAGGGCAGGCGCGGCAGGCAGGCAGGCAGGCTGGCTGGCAGGCAGCCAGATTGCGCGGCAGCGCGTTAACAAGGCAGGTGCTCACCAGTGGCGGGAAGAGCAGGCGCTCGCCGGGCGAGTAGGGCCGGCGCTTAACGAGCGGCTGCATCGGGTTCAGGGGCGGCGTCGCGGGTCCAGGGGCGGCGTCGTGGGGTCCAGGGGCGGCTGCACGGAGTACAGGGGCGGCTGCTTTAGGGGCCAGGGGCGGCTGC